ATCAAGGAAGGCTTCCCTGAGGAAGTGTTGTTTAAGCTCAAATTTGCAGAGGTGGGGGTGAAAAAAGCAAAGCGGGGAAGGAAAGAGTAACTAGCAAGTGCGTTGGAGACAAAAGAAGGGCATGAACAAATACCCTATGGTAGAAAAACTTCAGCTGTCCTCAGAGTAAAGAGAGAAAGCCAGTGGGCCTGGAATGTGGTGGGCGAGAAGAGATGTGGGTATAAGTAGAGGCAGGAGAGGTGGACATGAGCCAGATCATGCTGGGCCTGATAGGTCAGAAAAATGATTTATACTTTATCCTAAGGTCAATGGGAATCTACTGAAGTGTTTTGAATAGGGGAACAATATGATCAGATTTACTTTTTTTTTTTTTAACCTAAATCGAGATGTACTTAGAAATATAAACAGCAGAAGCTCATAAATATCACACAGGTATTAAAAAGGAGTGCAGCTTGTAATCACCACATAACTGTAGAGATATAAACAGGAGTGCTGATGGAGTGGGAACAGTGTGGGGGATACGGGGACCCGGGAGTCTGGAGAGGCATGTATAGTTCACCTTTTTGTTTGTTTTTAAGGAATAGATGTTCATCTGATTTGATGCCAAGGCAGCATTTCAGTAAGCTGGGATAAAATCCCCATGTAAAACTTTCCCCTTTCTTCAAAAGCTTCAAGAGAAATTTTCTCCTCAAGTCTAACCTCATATGTGGGTGGGGTTGGGGACCACCTACAGGTGTGATTCAAGAGATGCTAAAAGACCACTCCTCCTGTTCAGTGTAAACTTTCTCCATCCTCCACCAGTGCCTAACATTTTACCATCACAATTTTATTCAATTGGCTAGATTTTCAATTGCCAAATACATTAGGAAAGAGTAATCCACTGCCTTCCTGGGACTGAGCTGGTCTGAGGGGTGGGATGGGAGGGTTCAAAGCTTTTTGAAACCACTGAGCATACAAGGGCATGGAGGGGCCGTGAGACTGGGTGGATTACAGAGGGTGAATGTGCATGGAATCCAGTCTCCTTTTCTGACGTCATCGGGTGGGATGGGAGGGTTCAAAGCTTTTTGAAACCACTGAGCATACAAGGGCATGGAGGGGCCATGAGACTGGGTGGATTACAGAGGGTGAATGTGCATGGAATCCAGTCTCCTTTTCTGACGTCATCGTTTTGTCCTGGGTTGGCCCTGAGACCAGCTGGTGTGTATGATATGGATACATGTATATGTGTGTGGATTTGTACAGTAAAGATATATATAGGTGTACTTAGGAAATATATTGACTTTATAACATGAAAAGAAATAATAGTAAGGAACACAGGCCCTGGGATTAGACCAACCTGAATCCAGATCATAAGCTTTGTAACCCTGGGAAAGTTACAGCACCTACCTTATGGGGTGGTTGGGAGGGTTCAATTAAATGATCCGTGTAAAGTCTTAATGCTGGTCTATGGCATACAGCAAGTACTTCATAAATGTTGCTGTTATTAAGATTACGTGTATCCTTATGCACGTGTGTGTGTGCACATGCATGTATGTGCAGATGTGCGTATGTAAGAGAGAGAGAGGATAGAATGAGACAGGGAAGGAAGCAAAACATTGCCAACCCTGCAGTAAGACCTCCAGCACTGGAGTGGCCCTTTCTAGAGGGGAGGGAACTGCAGGGCGGCCCACAGAGGACAGTGGCTCAGCTTTACTAAGTGGGAAACAGAGTCAAGGGACAGCAAAGGGCTTCAAATGATAATGGGCTTCCTTATGGGACAGAATCAAGAGTGGAAATTCATTGAAAGAGACAGGCAAGCAGAATGGAATGTGATGTTATGAAGCTCAAAAGGGGGATTTAAAAAAAAAAAAAGAGTTGAAAGTGGTCTCTAAAATTAGCCCTGAGTGCTCAGAGGACAGAAAACTTCACCTGCTCCACCCTCTAGTGCTCCCTTGTTGTGAGCTTCACGTGTGTTTGATTTTTCAGAACTGACATGGGAGAACTTTGAGAAACATGTAAACCACTGCAGTGTTTTCAGCCCTCTTAGTCCCCTCTTAAGACTTTCCCAGAGAGCTGTATCTAAGTGCTCTCTGCATAACAAAGAACAGTCATCCATATGATGAGAGAGAATATACATGTAGTAAGAAAAAGAACACCTAGTTTCCAGTCCTAGTTCTGCCCCTAACTCACTGGGCAACTTGATCTCTTGATCTCTCTGGGCACAGCTGTCTCACCGGCAAGAGAAGTTCATTGGTCAATTTTGGTCATTATCTTTTGACTTCCTGCCATCCTAGATGGGGTTTAGCTGCCTTGAACCACAACTCCTCCTCTTAAAGTTCTACCACCCATGGTGTGGTGGTGAAGAGCACACACCACCTGCCTTCTGCAGGCCGTGACTTCTAGGATGAGTTATTTACCCTCTCTGTGTCTCAGTTTCCTCATCTGTGAAATGAAGGTAAAGAAGAGTTTAGTGTGTCCTCGAGTTGTTAAAAGAGTTATATGGATTAATATAAGGCATTTAGAACAGTGTTTGGCACAGAGAAGAGCTACCCTGGTGTTAGGTAGTATTATTGAATACCTTTGTAACTTTACATGAAATGTATTATTGATAAAAAAAAAAAAAAAACAGGCATTATTTGAGGATATGAAAAGACTACAGTAGCTAGTAGGCAGGAGGAGAGCTAGGAACCATTGCTTTTCCTTGTTTAAAAAGGTCCTTCAGGGCCGGCCTGTGGCTCACTTGGGAGAGTGCGGTGCTGATAACACCAAGGCCCCGGGTTCGGATCCCATATAGGGATGGCCGGTTAGCTCGTCGGGTGAGCACACCCTGGTGTTAGGTAGTATTATTGAATACCTTTGTAACTTTACATGAAATGTATTATTGATTAAAAAAAAAAAAAACAGGCATTATTTGAGGATATGAAAAGACTACAGTAGCTAGTAGGCAGGAGGAGAGCTAGGAACCATTGCTTTTCCTTGTTTAAAAAGGTCCTTCAGGGCCGGCCTGTGGCTCACTTGGGAGAGTGCGGTGCTGATAACACCAAGGCCCCGGGTTCGGATCCCATATAGGGATGGCCGGTTAGCTCGTCGGGTGAGCACGGTGCTGACAACACCAAGTCAGGGGTTAAGATCCCCTTACCGGTCATCTTTAAAAAAAAATAAAAATAAAAATAAAAAATAAAAAGGTCCTTCAGTACTTTGATCTTTCAAGTATGTGTGTGTACGTGATTTTTTTAAAAGAGATTGAGCCAAAAGATCGCTAAAGTCTTTCTCATCTCTAAATTCAGGGATTGACTATGATTTTTAAGAAACAGTATTTTCTAGGTGGCCAGCTTATCCTTGTTATCATAGCTATCATGAAAATGTTTGTCCTTCCCAGGATATCCTTACAAAGGTTGAAAACACACGCAATCGCCTTGGCATGTTTATAACTGAGCAGGTTTCAATTCTTGGGTAGGAGAGAAAATGGGAAAGAAAAACATATAAATTTTGTAAATACTTGGCCTTCGGGGCTGGCTTACATTTCACCTCTTACAATCTTTTCCCAGTTACATAAAGGAACGATCAGTAGCCCAGTGTGAACTCAGAGAGGAGCGTGGCTGGTAGGCGAATGCCCGGTGGCGAAAGTGTTAACAGGGCGATCCCTCCAAACGAGTAAGACTCTGAGTTGTTAAAGTTTTCAAAGCGGTGGCGGCCGCGGCACTCGGGGGGAAAAGGAAGCCGCGGAAGCCCGCGGGAGGGAGCAGCGCGCCCCTGCTGAGCGGAGGAGGAGCCAAGCTGAACTCGGCAGAGGGTACAAGCACGAGGTTAGTGGCCCCCGTGTTAGGAGGGGACTCTCAGGAAGGCAAGGCGCCATCTATCATCCTCGTGGGGCATGTCTGCCCTGCTTACTAGTGGGGCCACCGGCCCCACCTGCCAACCCTCCCTGGCCACCGCGGCATTCTCCCAAGTCTTGGCACTAGTAAGGGACAGCTGACTTCTTTCCAGGAGACTTTTCTAACTGGGGACTTCTTTTCAGACATCCAAAAGGACAGTTTCTGGAACAAGGCTTGTCTGCAGACCACACACACACACACACACACACGCACGCACACGCACACACACACACTCCCCCCTGTATATGCTGCTCCGTCTTGGTTTTTACAGGTTGTGACCGCAACCCAGAATTTCTATCCGCTTCAGTTGAAACCAAGAACAATTGTCAAAGTAACTAAACAGGCTGCACGACTTCACCTTGTGGGAGGAATATTGTCTCTGAGACTAAGATAACCAGGGTGAGGAGGCAAGAAGAAAAAAGAAGAAAGGAAAAGGAAAAAAAAGCTTCCAAGTACTGTGGACTGTGTAGTTAAGGCAAAACAAATTTTTAAAAAAGGGTTTCTAGTAGAAATTTTTCTTGTAGATTGCTAGAACAAAATAGTGGAGGAAGATCTATTTTGAAGGAAACAATTCACATCTGCATGAGATTCTACCTAAACGTATCTGCATGCAATGCAGATAATAGATAAGTTAAATGGGGCAAAGGAGGAGGAGGAGACAGCTTCACAGAAACTACATTCTAAGGGGGCCGTGATTTGGGACTTGAGACTGACTGTCCGATGCTTTCCCCAGGCAGGGTGAAGGACCCCTTCCAGCCTTGCTGGTAGGGAGGAGCGGGCCGGTTTCGTCTCCCTGCTCCCGCCCTCCACACAGGGGCAATGAGCAGTCAGTCCCTGTGCTGAACGTTCCCTCTGATCCTTGCAGCAAACAGAGTGGAGTCGTATACCTGCTAGCACTGAATCAGAGTGAGTCATTTGAAACTTGGGTGCCAGAACAAAGTACTTGCAAACTGCCTTATGAGGCACTGCCTCAATGTAGGTGGGATATACCTCTCGGAGCAGTCACATTTTTTCCGTTCCTTCTTTTCTCCTTCAAACAGGCAGGAAATCTGACGCTTCCAAGAGACCGGCTCTGCCCCCTTGACTCAGCTGCCCCTACAATGTGGACCCTGCGTCCCCAGATCCGGACTGGAGTTTTAAAATAAAATGGATGATTTGACGTTACTTGATCTTCTGGAGTGCCCTGTGTGCTTTGAAAAGCTCGATGTCACAGCCAAAGTCCTCCCTTGCCAGCACACCTTCTGCAAACCATGTCTACAAAGGATTTTCAAGGCCCACAAGGAGCTGCGGTGCCCTGAATGCAGGACCCTGGTGTTTTGCAGCATCGAGGCGCTGCCAGCAAACCTGCTGCTCGTGCGTCTTCTGGATGGCGTGCGCTCAGGCCACAGCTCCGGCAGAGGGGGCTCCCTCCGCAGGCCCGGCGTGCTGACCTCGCAGGACGGCAGGAAAAGCAAGACCCACCCCAGAGGTCTGCAGGCCAGTCCTTTCCGGCTGGTGCCCAATATCAGAATCCACATGGATGGGGTAAGAAAGATCTTATTCGCTAATATCATGTCCACTTGGAGGTTGGATTTGTGTCTCTCCCGGGAGCTAAGGATTACCTTCTTTTAGTTACATTTCAGAGTAGCGCTGATAAGATTCTGTGAGAGGTAATCATTTACTGAAACATGATGGAATTCCGAGCCTATCTAATTCGTCCAGGAATTTTCCTTAGAACTGTTAAAGCGTCCTAGGTTCTCCTTACTTCTTGCCCAGAAGGTAGTTGAATAAGGAAACCTTTTTAGATTATACTTTGAGTCTTCTACTTCTGCTTTTCTGAGGCCAAACCAGTCCGTGGGAAAAAGAGAGAAAACAAATCCATTTGCTTGTTGCTTTTGAGATCACTGAGAAGTTTCCACGTCAGGTTTTGTTTGAATTTTACCCAAATCCATCTTCCCACCCCCAGTCAAAAGCGCTATTATGAAAATGCTCATTCATAATCTGTTCAAAGCTATCAAGATACTTGATGCTGGAGATGGTGAGGGAGGGAAGCGTCTATGTGGGTGGACTGATCGATGGCAAAGGCTAGCCCACAAAGTGCAACAGATGTGTGCAGGAGCCCTGCAGATGTGTCTTACTTTACAAAATGAATAAAACACATAGAAAATACACATCCAGGGACTTCAGACCCAGACCCGGTCTCCAGCTGCACAAATCACCCAGTAATGCTTTTCCTGTGCAGATAATGTGAATTTCTCTGTCCAGTCCTGCAAGCACACCCTGAGGATTTTATCTGACTTGGAGGTGAGCTGTGTTGTGGGATGTGTATAAGGGCACATCTGGAGAGAAGGACATGGTCCTTGTGAGTCTGGCAGGATTATTTGCACTGTCACCCCTGGAGTAAGTGTGCCCAAGTGGACACAGAAAGCTGTGGCTTGGGTCAGCAGCATACTTAGGAAGTCAAAGCTGCTTTCTTTGAAGTCTTACCTAAAGAAGGCTTTAGTACCGGCAGCAGGATCCCACGACTCCCCGCTCTGAAGAGCAATAGCAGGTGGGAGGATCTTGCAGGGACCCCTTCCCCACTCAGGAGAGGAGGCTTGTAATGTGCATTCAGAACAATTTTCTGAAATTTTCCTTCCAAGAACTCTCCCTTCCTTGAGTTCACTGTGCCTTTAAGCCTCCCATGTGGTAGGAGCATGTGTAAACATTCAAAAATGAGAGCGGGAAGAAGCAGGACATTGGTGTGATTTCCTCAGTGCAGAATTTTTATGGCTGTTGTGCTTGTGTGTGTGAACACATTCCAGCAAAGGGCTTGGCATTCCTCTGTAAGTCTCTCCATTAGCCCTGGTCTAGTCATTAATCAGAATCCACAGGCCTGGAAAAGGTGGAGTGGGGGTGGGGGAGCAAACTTTTCTCAAACATGCCTTGTCTATCTCTGGGTCAGCAAAGCCCCCTCGAATTTCTGAGACCCTGCAGCCTCTCCCCTCCCCCACCCTGCAAAAGTCTGACTCACCCTTCAGTAGAGTATCATCACTCACTAAGGAAACACGGCCAGACCAGGAGGAGATAAGTTCCTTATCAGCATCAAATAGTTTTGTTCAGGTTTTCCTCTTTTCGATATGGCTATGTTGCTAAGAAAAGGTAGCAAAAAACGGATCCACAGCTACCAAGTTTTTGAACCAGAGAGATTTCCCAGACCCTCCTGGCACAGGGAATTGAGATGTAAGAAATAGCCATTAAGATAACTGGTGGTCCCCACTCTTCTGTGGGGTCTTGTAACATCAGACTGAGGTTCCAGGGATGCATCTGTGCCCATCCTTCAAGCTGCTCCAGACTGAGTCCTGTCATGTCACAGAACCAAGCCCTAAGGGCTCTTGCTTTCAGGCAGGCCTGGGTTAGTAAAGATGCTCTGCAAAAGAGCAGAGCTGGCAGCCTCCCCCACTGCTCCTGTTACCTTCATTTCCTTAGCTATTCTTTCTTGATGTGGCCCATCTCATTTCCTTTGGGCCTCTCTCCATGGGGATATGAGCAAACCCATTCCTGGACGTAAACATGGCTGTCATTCTGCCACCTGCCTCTACTCTCAAAAATATAATTATCTTTCCTGTAAGTGTGAAAGCAACCATGAATCCTTCAGTTAAGAAAACTGAAGATTGTTTGGATATCACCCTCTGGTCTGAATCAGAGGAATAGACTTGCATCCTCAGTCAAATTTTCCTGAGTCACTTGCTCTCTCTGCCTTGGTTTATCCAATCTAGTCAACAGCTAGTAATACTTGCTACCCACCCTCCCCCAAATAGTGTGAAAATTATCTTTGCAACATATTCGTATCACCTCAGAAAACATCTGCTATGTAAATGCAAAGCATCATCATTATCATTCATTTAAACTTGCTGTATGACTTTGGGCAAGCCACTTAAGTTTGCTGGGTCTCAACTTAAAATGCTGTAAAATAAGAAAATGTATTGCAAAAACAGAGAGCCACTGTGAGGCTTAACCAATTAGTCTGTGCAAAGCACTGTGAGAGCCTTAGATGAAAGGCATTTTTGGAAGATCATTATCATAGTAAATATTATTATTGACTGTTTATTGTACCCTGCCATGCATGAGGCATTCTACGAAACACAGAAGTGATAACCGTTGCAGGAGAGTGTAATAGGTATTATTATTGAACTTGAATATGTGATGAGTCCAGGACAGGATAATACTAAATATAAAGTACTCCCCTAAGAGGACATAAATAACCTGTTGTCACAGGTACCATTTTGTAAAACACCTCTTTCAGAGGACTCACTGATAACCTAGCACTCTGAAAGAGTTCATTTTTAACTTCCTGTCTAGGAGCTTTTTAAATCTGAAGTCTGTTCTGCTCACCAGGCTCATCTAAAAAACAAGTTCATCGAGATCTTTTTGTTGGTTCGATGCATCTTGTGCCAGCCAGTATGCTAGGGTGGAACCAACAGTCACACCTTGTGGTGCCAGCCGGAGAGACAGAAAAAATAGCCCATTGTGCCTACACGCCTAAAACCCTCCCAAGCTGATTGTGTAAAAAGAAAACTTGAGAAACAGCTGTAGGTTTTTATAGCATGCAATTATTTCAAACCAACAGGTAAGATCAACCGACTCCTGGAGGGCCCCTGGTTGTGCAAATTCCACTGGTTCTTATTCTTCCCCACAATGCAGTCAAACCAAAGGACTTTGCAAGCCTTCAAAAGGATTATGGGTTCCCAAGTAGCTGATTTCTCTCTTCTCACTTCATTACACTTTAATAATATTTCTGAATTAGGATGAGCAGTAAAGCAGAGAAACTAAGAATTTGCAGGATTAGGTTTGAGAAATACCAAAATTCAAATCCTGATTCTGCCCCTCAGTAGAGTATGGGTGAGTCACTCAAACCTCAGGGCCTCCAATTCCCCATCTGTAAATCAGAGATAATAGCAGCACCTACCTCAGAGGGTTGTTGTGAAGAATAAATGAGATGATTCATATCCCTTAATTCTTAGCGCAGGGAATGTTTCATATTAAGTGCTCAATAAGTGTTAGCTGTGATTGTTATTGAAATGACTCACTTTCTACTCTAAATTAGACACACTTTTTAAATTTTATATATATATTTTCTTTAATCAAAGCATAAATTATTAGACATATTTTAGGGTAAAAATTGACTATCAATAGTTGCATACAATATGTGATGGTCAAATCAGGATAGTTAGCTTATTCATCATTACAATATGTAATTATTCTTCGTGTCTGTTAACCAATTCCTCATTAATTTCTTATTAATCCCCCTTCCTCTCCCTCTCCCCTTTTCACTTCTAGTGACTATAGATATGTGATGGTCAAATCAGGATAGTTAGCTTATTCATCATTACAATATGTAATTATTCTTTGTGTCTGTTAACCAATTCCTCATTAATTTCTTATTAATCCCCCTTCCTCTACCTCTCCCCTTTCCACTTCTAGTGACTATAGGTCTGTTCTCTCCTTCTAAAAGCTCAATCTATTACTGTGATTTTTGTTTCTTTCTCTCTCTTATTGTGTATTCATTTATTTATTTACTCAGCTCCCACTTATGAGTGAGGGCATGCAATATTTGTCCTGCTGTGCCTAGGTTGTTTCACTTAACATAATTTTCTCCAAGCTTGGCAGTTCTATCTGTAGCTGTTTGAGGAAACTCCATACCATTTTCCATGATGGCTGCACCAATTTACAGTCCCACCAGCAGTGTAGGAGGGTTCTCCTTTCTCCACATCCTCACCAGCAGGCGTTATTCTCTATCATTTTGATAATAGCCAGTCTAACTGGGGTGAGGTGATATCTCAAAGTGGTTTTGATTTGCATTCCCCTGATGATTAATGATGTTGAACATTTTTCATATACCTATTGGCCATTTGTATTTCCTCTTTTGAGAGACATCTATTTTACCCCCCCCCCCCCCCCCCCCCCCCCCCC